AAAAAAAAAAAAAAAGCAGTTTGACTCCAGAACTTGGAAAACACTCTTCCAGTAAATTTACAATATTAATTTTGCGCTGAGAGAGCAAATCCCAAATTCAAACCAGATTCACAAATTATGATCTCATTTTTTCCAGAGTTTCTACTGATTAGGCTTGTTATAGATTAACTAGAGGTAGAATGTATTAAAGGGAAAGAAGAGAGAAAAAGAGAATACTTAAACTCAAGAGAATAAAATTTCCCGTGTTTGCTTTTTCTGCTAATAAATGAGACTCAAGCAAAAGAGTGTGTATTTTCTAAGGAGAAGTGAGGGTGAATGTGTGAGCATTTTACAGAGGGGATTACCAAGGGAGTCAATCATTCTGAGCTGGAAAGCCATAAAGAGTGCCAGTTTTCTCAAGACAGTGTAGTGATGAGGGTGAATTTGGGGGTGGGGGGTCGTGGACAGACCTAGTGGTTGTAGAATGAGCTGGGAAGAGTGTTTTTCTTTTTCTTTTTATTTATTTTTTGGTACAGGGATTGAACTCAGGAGCACTCAGCCACCAAGCCAATCCCCAATCCTATTTTATTTTATTTAGAGACAGGATCTCACCGAGTTGCTTAGCACCTCACTTTTGCTGAGGCTGGCTTTGAACTTGCGATCCTCCTGCCTTGGCCTCCCCAGCCACTGAGATTACAGGTGTGTGCCACCGTACCCAGCTGGGAAGACTATTTTGAAAGATAATTAATTAATATACAAATTGAGTATCAGTTGTATATTCAATAGCTTAATATGTTCAGGGGATACAGTGACCATAAAGCCAAGTGCCAGCATTCTAATTTAGAAGACAGCAATCGGTGGGTTTAAGTGAAGATAGAAGGAAGGCTCTGTAACCAAAGGATTAAAAAAACTTGAGTGACTATCATTTGAGGGTTTTTTTTTTTTTTTTTAAGTAAGGGCTACATCCTAAACCAGAGACTAGAGGGTGCTTAACAAAAATAAATAAATAAAAATAATGAAGTGTCAGATACGCAGGGGCTGTGATTAAAGGCCTTGCTTGGGCTTTGAATGTGGTCAAGGGAAGAGGTGAATCATGTCTCAAATCTTTCCCTTGCCTTCTGCAATGGGGGTGCACCTTGTGAAGGAAAAAAAGCCAGGGTGTGTGCATCTCTTGACAGACATCTGAAATAGATCAGGATCCTGTTGCAGGCTAGAGGGTTTCCTCAGAACCCCTCTCTTCATCCCCAAAGCTGTAAATGCCAAAATAGGTTATCAGAATTTCAGCCTATGCGAGTATCTCACTAATGCTCATTTGCTGACTTTAATGAGTTCCAGAACCAATCTGTGATCTTACAGTCAGCTCAGGTTTATCACCAAAAGAAAGTCCATAAGTCTGGTGTGGGAGGTCAGCTCAGCAGAACACAGCAGGGAGACATTGATGTGAAAATGAATTTAAATGAATTCTGGTGGACATTGTAAGGCTTCACAGTCCTTTAATACCATTAAGCACAAAAATGTTTGGTGTCTTTGGATGTCCTGATGAGCTCGGCTCTTGTATAATACCTGTCTTGCAAACCACACTAACTATCCTTTTGTTCTCTCTTCAAATTTCACAGCTTCCTCTAGTCTACCGAAAAAGGGAAACTCGTATCTCCGAGCTGTTACAATAAAACTATTGGCAGCCTGTAAAGTGAGAACAGAGCCTTGCCTTAATTTATTGCACCACACAGATTTATTACACATCAGGGTAATAATAACACTGGGACTTGCAATCTGATGATCATTGCTCCAGTAGGAGCATGATGGAGGGAGCCAGCCTGGAAAGCCCTGGGCTCGTGGATTCCCTATATGGTACTAAGTACTGCCGGGCACACTCTTGGCTCTGTGCCACGAGACGACGCAGTATCACTGGGCCAGGCAGTGCCAAGATGTGATGCAGACTGGGTGAGGAGATGTAGTATTTCAACAGAAAACACTAGAAGTCATTTGCCAGGTCTGAGAGGAGTGTTTTCCACAGTTGCTCATTGCCAGGGAAGTAAGCATTCCCCAGCTCCCATCTTCACAGAAAAGCTTCCTCAACCTGTAATAGGATGAGAATCCAGTTTTAGAACCATAGAGTTGACAGAAAACTTTAAGGGGCACCATAATAGTTAAAGCTATTCCGACAGAGATTTGAAGGCACATTTAACAAAATTCATGGTAAAAGACAATCACCCTTCAGGCTGAGGATCTCCTCAGTGCCAGCCTCAATTCTGGACTGCTTCATGGTCTCTTCATCATGGCTTCTGAGTCCTGAAGTGTCTGATCAATCTTGGCTGCTTCCAGAGATACTGCTCTGAGGCGCTCAGGCACTCGGCTTGCCTATGGTGATGTCAGTGACATCCTCACAGAGGGCAGCATCCATCAGAGGTGCCCTCCTGCTGCTCAGCTCACGCTGGAAGTCTCTCATTAGAGTTTCTAATTTTTAAGATAATGGGAACTTAATGGGGATTATTTTGATTTTTTCTTACTAGCCAACACTTTGATATCAGACCCAGCTGCCCTGCCTGAACAAATGCATCCTGAGTAAGCAGAAGCTGTGGCTCAGGAAACTTGCTGACTTAACCTTAGAAAGGCACAAGAGAATCCTAGAGCCCAGTTTTCTTTTCTTTGACTTGGCAAGAAACCATGCCAGTCTTCAGTCTGAGTTCAATGGAGAATTATCCCTACTCACTTGAAGACTTTGGCCTGAAACAGTGTTTGGGTGTCTGGCCATTTGGGTGACCACGTTGCATTCTCCCTTCTTTGCCCACCAATTTCTAGAGAGAATAACTTTTATTAAATCATCAGTGAACTATTCAATGAATTCTAAACATTTGAGGAGCTTAGGTTACTGCTACTCCTTTCTATATCATGCTTTAAAGTTCACCGAACGTGGTGGCCCACACCTGTAATCCCAGTGACTTGGGAGGCTGAGACAGGAGGATCCCAAGTTTGAGGCCATTCTTAGCATCTTAGGAAGATCTTGTCTCAAAATAAAGATGAGAAGGGGTGGTGAGGGGTATAGTTCAATGGTAAAGGGTCTTCAATTCTCAGTACCAAAAAAAAGAATGAAGAATTCAATCTGCCTATCATCAATCCCTGGTTGTACTTATGAGACAGATTTACTTTCTAAGGACAATACCAAGACTGGAATCAAAGAACTTCATTATGGTTTGAAACTATCAGGCCTTGGAAATTTGAAGACATTGTCCTTGTCTTCTTATAAAAACTTTGACTTTCTTCCTAGCAAACATACGTAAGTTTTTTATTTTGCATTGGCAGGTGGCAGTCTGCAGGATAAATTGGCCTCTGGGGATTTTTAACCTGCCAAAATGATTGGCAAAACACAAAATTGCGAAAATCACCGTCTTCAGTAAACCAACTGTGCCCAACAGCTCCCAGGAGAGTGTGGATGGGCTTACTTTGTTGGCTGTTAGCTATCAGGACCACTCAGACAAATCCTGAATCTTGGCAACCACTTTAGTCCTGTGGTCACTGATTGCTCCCTGGCAAGAAACCATGTCAGTCTCCAGTCTGAGTTCAATGGAGAATTATCCCTACTAACTGGAACTTCTGGCAGTGCATCTTCAAATCCCCCCAAAGCAATCATATAGTAGGGAAGCCAAAGAGGCAGAGGGGTGGCTAAATCACAGAAATGAAGATAAACACATTTAGTTCCATGTTCCCCTAGAGAGTCGACAGGCCCGGATACTTCCAAACACATTGCCCATCGCTTTAGATGAAAGGCCCAAGACTATTTTAATTAAGTAATTTGTTTTCAGAATAAATTTCATAAGGAAGGGAATTGCCCTCCAGCTAGCTATTTGGTGGAATGGGTTATCAATAAATTGGCCTCAAAAGAAGAAGGGTGCTAGAGAAGGCAAATGAAAATATAAAGTGGGGAGTGAGCAGAAACTGTAGCATTGTTAAGAAATCCAAACAAAAAATCATCAGGAGTGGGAACTCATTTATATTTAGTTATTTTGAAAAACGATGATGGTGGTACAGGGGTATGAGAAGGTGTGAGTGAGGCAGAAGCTTTATTTAGTCTTACAAGAAACAGTTGCCCAACTCCAAAGCCTGCCTGGGTGGCTAGAACATTGGGAAGTATGCACAGTGTGCAGGAACTTGGCTGTCAGCTCTCCCAAGGTTGCAAAGTGCCAACCAAGCTCATGTGCCGTCTTCATTGGGCTGTAGGTGCTGACTGTGCCAGTAGTCACCTCCACAGCTCTCAGGCCCCTTACCACATCCTTCCATTCATACTGCATCTCAGCAGAGCTCCAGCCCACTTTACATCTCTTACATCAGGGGGTTTGGGATGACAATTTGCATATGATCTTTGCAAACTTAAACTTTTGAGTGCTTGGAATTTGAGCATAGAAGCAAAAAAAAAAAAAAAAAAAGTGGACAAGAACAGATAAACGTCTATGTTTCTAAAATGAGTCTGAAGCCCCGTGCAGTGAGCCCTGTGATGCCAGCTACTCAGGAGACTGAGGCAATAGGATAGAAAGTTCAAGGCCAACTTGGGCAACGTAGTGAAGCTCTAGCTCAGAATACCACTGGAGATATATCTCAGCAGTAGAATGCTTGCTTTGTATGTGTGAGGCCCTGGGTTCAATCTCCGGTACTGAAGGGAAAAAAACAAACAAGCAAAAAAATGAATAAACAAACATAAAAGAGTCTGAAATGCAAAGATAACTTTCAGGGTTCAGATTGAGCAAGATCTCTTGAGGTCATAATCCTGAAGATTTTACTTCTTTTGTTAAAAAGAGGAGGAGAAAGAGGGAGAGGGGCAAGGAGAGAGAGAGAGAGAGAGAGAGAGAGAGAATATCTCCTAAGTTGCCATGGTACCAAGAAGAATCTTTAAAAAAAAATGCTTATTATTATTTTTAAAATCGTACTGCTGAACATTTCAAGTGGGAATAATGGGTTCATGTCCCCAGATTGGAAGGGGATGTGAGAAAGTATTTTACAAAGGAAAAAGTAAAATAACTGTTACCTAACATTTTCCACCTAGACAGAAAATGAAAGTTCAATTTGCAAGCTAAAAGAACATTCTGTTGACAATTTACTGTACCTGGGAAACCCTGCCAGTTGCCTCAACCCTGCCTCATTTGGACACCTTTCATTTCAGACTACACAGCAGATACGAATGAATTTTCAAAGCATGTGGACGGAGTTGGTCAAGTCACCCAAACTTACAGTGATGACAGGTTGGGACAGTGGATAGCAATTTCCCTTTGTCGTCATCACCCTTCCCAAATGCTGGGAAACCGAGGCCTGGAGGGACAGATGTGAGGTGTTGACTTGAAGGTTCTGGACCCAATCTGATGTTCCAGGAACCAAGCCATGAGCACTGCTGTCATCTCTGGGAAGTGGTTTTTGATTCAGCCGCGGTACTTTCCAGTGTCAGTACTTGTGTGTGTCAGCAGCTAAGACTCCCAGGCGAGGGGCCCCACATCCTCAGCCTCAGCCTCGGCCTCAGCTTCATCTCAGGAAAGCGCTCTGGTTGGTGAAGAGAATGGGGAGGGTGTGGCAGAAGGGCCAGGCCTCAGTACCTGTGAAGGCTGGTGTGAGAGTGGAACTCTCAGGAGGGGAAGGAGGAGGCCTCTGGGTGGTGAATTCACCTACTGAGGTGACTGGTCTGGAGACTCTGAGAGGGAAATGGCAGGACTCACACTACCCCCTCCCTTGATGAGCATGCCCACAGCCAGACCCCCATATTTCATTGTTCTGCCTCCTGGGCTGTTGGATATACCTCTTCTACTTTGGGAGGGGAGGGCCCTTCTGGAGTCCATTTTCTTGAGGACTTATTTGTTTCCATTTTCAACAGAGATAAACACAACACTCCTTCCTTGGATGGTGGAGTAGCTAGGTAATCCAGAACCAGCTGGACTTTGATCATATTTTTAAGGATGAGAAAGATGGCTGATGTTCCCCAGGTAGAAAAGGTTAGACCAGTAAGTTGCTCGTTTCTTCCCGTCTTCTTTATGATCTCAGAAAAGCAGGAGAAAAATAAACGTACACAACATTTGATGGATGTCCCCTGCCCCCAGCTTAGTCCAGCTTTGTGTCTCAACAGGAAAGGGTGGAAGAGGAAAAGGGAACGGACATTTACTGAGTGCCAACTCAATTGATTTAAATAATTGCACTTTATATAAATAAACACATTTAATTCTCCCAGACAAGACCCTCCCACGCAGGTATTGTTATCCCCATTTTTTAAAGATAACTCTACTAGGCTTGTGCGGTTAGGAGGCTATGAAACCAAAATTTAAAACCCAAGGCTTCCCGTCTCCATGACTCCTTTCTTTCCTGCTCTCTTGTTGAAGTGCCCATTCTGAAGACTGACTTGACCCTGAACTCAGCCTACAGGAGGAAAAGGACAGCAGTTGGGGGCTGTCTCCTTATTCAGTGTGTTTATCAGAACATCCTAATGACAGGACAGGTCAGAATGACAGATGGTTGTTTCAAAGCCTTCGTTGGCTGAAAGATGGCAGGATGTGGGGTGCGGGTCCTGGAAAAAAGTGATGGAGCTCTAGGGGGAAATACCCTATGACTTGTTTTCTGAAAATTTAGTTAGCATTTACCTTTAGTCACTTGTCAAATTCAGGGATGCCTTAAACTTAAGAGATTATCAAAATCAGAGTACTCTTACTCTTATTATAAAAAA